GCTCCTATGTAAGATGAAGAATTATCTATTAAAATTACATTTTCAACATAACGAGTTTTTGATGACTGATAACTGGTATCCTACCAAATAAATGCATTGCTTGGAAACAAATGTAAGTTTAATTCAGAATAAAATTGTTCATAACCCTCATGTTGTAAATTTAAAACTATTAACAGCAGTTGTCATAACAATTGTGTTGTTGAGAGAGTGTCTTGCAACTAAGGAAACAATCATTCTGGGGCCAAAATGAACACTCAAGCAGTTAAATATAAATCAGTTTTATTTATTGTACATGTCACTGCTGATGATGTTAGCTAATATCACATAGTGATTTATAAGTGATAAAATTCCATATTTAAATCTATCGCACTATGAAAATTTGTATAAAATGTGACTCTGAAGTCAATATTTGTGATAGAAGTACTGAAATGGAATAATTTATTGTTTTCATTTCAAATACATGAATTCCTAATTTTATGGCATCATGTTTTTCTCCTTTGTAATTTTGATGAGTCCCCACTGTTTTGGTAAGATTTGATTTCTCAGTGGGATGAAACAAGAGCCAGTGTTCTCTGAGCACTGGGAGGGCAAGGTACAGTTTGAAACTGGCAGCTACATCTGGCTTTTGGGACTATTTCCTTGCCCCACACACAGTGTAGTTGGTTAAACCATTATGAATTCAGTGCCAACATTTCTAAAAATTGGGAGATTCACCTTAAAATCCACAATTTTGGTAACTTGAATGATCTACAGATGTGGCAACAGTGGGGCATGACCCACCTTTGGGCATGGCACCTCCTGGGAGAAGCCGAATACCTGCCACCCTAGCAAGAGCTTGACCTCTTCTTAGCCAGTGATTGCAGTTGGCTAGAGTCCTTTCCCAGCCCACTTGCTGCTTTATGTAGCCCTGGTTTTTGGTAAGCCTTTCACTTTGTAACTCCTAAGCTTAAAGAAACAATTTAACAAAAGTGTTTAATATGTGTCCAGTACTGTACTCGTTGGGGATGATTAGGTGAATGGGACTGGCATGGGGCTTTC